ACCCTAGCACAGCTCTGCCAATATGTCTGGCCCATGGTGGTATTTTCACTGACAGGACTTACCCACTTATGCAATTCATTCAAGTGCTTCCGGCCCCTCCCTCCTCCCCTTCCTCCTCCCCTCCCCCCTCCAAGGGCCAGCAAATCCCATTTTGCCAGGGCCAGGTCTGTTCCATTCATTTCAACACCCCACCGCTTAGTAGACTCCTGGCACCAGCACCATCTCCTGATAGCATCTGTTGAATCCGTGTGTTGAAGAACTGAAGCTCCATTGAGCCGGGAGCAACCAGGAGCTACAAATAGCTTCCTAACAGCCTTTATTCAACACCAGACTGGGGAGCCAGCAGCACCCTTCACACCCGAGGGAAAGCCAGAAAAGCACTTGCCACGTGCCAAGGTCAGAAATGCTAAAGCATCCACAACTCACCCGCTGGAGCATGTGCTTTTCTGGGCCCTGAGTTCCACTGGCTCGGGCCTCTTGGACAATTGCCCAGGCTCCACAAGAGGTACAAGCTACTGGGGTGTAATGAAGAGAGATGATGAGTAAGGAATTTTTTTTACAAGGTAGGGAGTGTACGCGGAACAGGCTGCTGCGCTTCTGATGGGACGCTGTTCAAGTGCTGTCGCGTCCACCTGAGCCCCATCCTGGGAACCGCCACGCCAGGTTTCTGTCTAACCAAGTACCACCCCGCACACCTGTCCGGGTGAAGTGATGTTTTATTATACCAGGCTAACTGTGCACTCCAAAGGCTTTTATCTCAAAATAAACATCATAATCCACTTTAATAATGTTCATCAATACCAGTATCAGGGTTCCCCCACCCTACCCCACCCCACCCAGGGGATAGTAGATTATCCAGCATAAGCAATGGCTGAGGTTAAAAGTTGCAAATCTGGAGTAGGATTCATAAGCAGGAAGTACTTCAGAAGTTGAGGCCCCGCATCCAGAAATACAGCTCTATAAAGAGCATAAAGAAACACCTCGGCCTGTCAGCGAGAGGAAGTAAGCATGGAAGGTGAGGGAGGTGAGCACAGAGGGTAGGTACTCGCTGAGCATGGGTTCCACAGTTAGGGACTGGGACCCTGCTTCAAGTCCTGGGTGCGACACTCACTGCCTGTTGACCGTGAAGTTACTTAATCTCCTTGAGCCTCAGTTGACTCCTCAGTAAAATGGGGGAAATGGTACCTACTGCATAGAATTGTTGATAGGATTGTTAGGAAGATTAAATGCATTGGGTGGGGGGAAAGAAAGAAAACCCCAAAACCTCAGAGCTTTTGGAGCAGTGTTGCACATGGTAAATCATGTAACGGTTCGCCATTATTAGTTAGGGTCTATCTGGTAGACTCTACCATTGAGGCACATGGTCATCTAATTTCATTTAAAGCCTCAAACCAATCCTTCCAGATGGGAAGAGTTGTCTGCATTTCACAGATATAAACCTGAGGCTCATCAGGGTTAAGAACACTATTCAAAGGCACACAACCAGGAGGCGGCAAGACCAGCCCATGAACGCAGGTAATCATCATAACCACTGTTACCATAGTAATTACCGTGTACCGAAAGCCACGTGGAGTGCGCAGCACTTCCCCTTGGTTATTTCATCAAATGCTCAAAACCAATCTAAGGAAAGAGTTGTTACAACGGTTTTACAAAGGAGGACACAGTGTTGGAATGGTTAACTAGGTCGGCCAAGGTCAAGTGGTAAGTTAAGGAAAAAAGCAGTTCCGAACATCGATCCCAGTTCTGACACAAAACCCCATGGTGCCTTCCATTAAAGGTCTGCCTCTCTGGTATTTGTTACAGATCTTTTCTCTCTACTTGAAAGCATCAATGTGCCTGAATTCATATTAAGTGTAAAACAATGTCCTGGCTGAACAGAGTCCAGGAATGGCCCTCCCTGTGAAGAGACCCATCTATTGTCCTGAATTGTAAGCAGTTAAGAAATCTTCCAATAAAAGCCTGACTTCCCATTCAGTTCCTTCTAGAAGGTCTGGTTTGAGGGTCAGAGACAACAAATCACAGGAAGTTCTTAGTCATTAGGCTTTTCTTTTGGGGGGAATTAAAACAAGACAGATATTTTCTCATGCAAATCAGCACCTGCTCACAGATCTTCTACCATGGAGCAGCTTTCCTTGGCAATATGTGATTGTCCTCCCCAGTGGCACGTGGTTCTGGAACCACCTACCAGTCACTCCACCTTTTCCGCCTCTAGCCTGTGTGGCAGTGACAACACATAGACGCGCAAGGGATAGCAACGTCCTGACACAAAGACATCACAGTGGGGACTTCATGTTTTATTAAAATACTAACCACCCAAACCCTGGTGCTAATCTGGTGCTCACTTTGCAGTTACCTGGGCCTTCATGCGGACCTATTAATTAGCCCTTTAAACTATAGTGTTTCTGTAATTTACAGGAAGATGACTATTCAGCCAAACAAATTCCAAATTGGCATTTTACTATGGGTACCCTACTGATTTTAATGACGTGTGACACAAAATTGCATTGGTAGGGCACTCTGCCGCATCAGAGAGCCCAGGCACATCCGAGGGGCAGCACCCCCACCCCGGCTGTGTTGGTGGCTCCAGGGGCCAGAAGGGCTGCAAAGGGGAGGGGGCGGGGCAAGCCTGCCGTGGCTGACTCAGCATCGTAATCCCTGCCCACAGCTCGGTCTGTGGCAGTCCTGGATAAAACACAAGAGGGGAATTCAAGCCAGGAAGTCTCGCTGAGACACACTTCCTAGCACTGGGTAACAACCATCAGTTAACTGAAATGGCAGTGACTACTTGCTTCCTAGTACAAGAGTCAAGTTTGGAAAAGCCCCTTGCCCCCAACGAGCAGTGATGTGCCAAAGAGTTTTCCTCAAAACAAGTTCATACTCTGTGGATGGATGAAAGGAGTCCCTTGGTATGAGATGCAACTAACTTTGTCCAGAAGATAAAAGAAGCCAGGACTTCCAGAAACGTGTAAAATACCTATAGCTTCTGCTCAACAAAAATTCAGCACAGGAAAAAATTTTAGCTTTTCTAATTTTTTCTTGCCTAAAACCTGCCCCTCCTGCCCCAAAAGAAGAATCATAAAGAAACTGGTAACTTAAACCTCAAATTCCAGGTTTATGTCTTGGATTTTGAAGAAATATTGAACTCTTTTCTTCGGATGAAAACAAAAGACATGAATTTGATATTCTCTTAATTAATTATCAGCAATTGCACATACACTGTAAGAACACTTGACGTTATACCTGTATTATGTCACTGTTTATATTTCTAATGGCTTAACGGTGCTGCTGTTGGTGCCGCTGTTACTATCAAACTGTCAACGGCACACAGAGTGGATGCCAGCGTGAAATACTTTGCAGGAGTTGACAATGGTAGGATGTTGGTCCCCTCCCTCTCCACATTCCTGACTGTTCTTGATCAACTAAGAAGAATTTATTGTCCCCAGGCCAAGAGTCAGGGGGAAAAACACCCACAGCCCGGGTGCAGCCTAAGGGTGCGGCCGGCCAAAGAGCCCCGTGCATGTCCACATCAAGTCTGAGACCCAGCAGACAGCCCAGCTTTCTTGGGAGCGCATTTTATTATGTATGTGCCAATGGGGTGGAAGAAATCTCAATATTAAGGGCTAGTTTTCATTTATCAAGAAATGTATTTCTATCCCATGGAGTAATATTGTATCCAGAGCTGTTAATGAGCCCTCTAGGTGGGGAGAAGCCTGAGATTCCAGGCCTCGAAGCACCCAGCACCCAGAGCCACATGGCCCTCCCTGAACAGCGCAGAAGGAGAACAGGGGAACAGTGTTTGAGGGAGACAACTTTTGGACACTTTCCCTTGTCACAACCGTACTAAATAAATAATTGCCAAACACAGGTGACCCCTACTGTGCCTAATAGCTACCTGCGACAGCACCTGCTGCGCCTCCCACCCAGGCGTTTCATACGCATTGTCTCACTTAACTGCGGAAGCCCCAGGACAGTTACAACCTCAACCCCGCACTGCACAGGTAAGAAAATGGGCTCAGGCAGGTTATATAACTTGCCCGTGGTCACATGTCACCTGTGACAGAATCAGAACTTTGGCCCACGTGTGATGAGCTTGAACTTATTTCTCTAGCCCACAAAAATAGAACCTACTTCTCAGGCCCTCTGGAAGTCCAGGCTTCTCCTATCCCTCAGGCGTTGCTTGTTTTAAACCCACCTTTCTTAGCTGCCCTGCATATTCGGTGGAAGCCTGTCTCCAGCTTTCTGCCCTCAGCATCTGCCCCAGGGGGAGGCGGGTCCACCCTGCACACTCCTAAATCCAAGGTGGAGATGCTGGTTCTCTGCACGTAGGAAATCTTAGATTTACTTTTAGAAGGAGGGACAAGCCGGACAAAGGCTGAGACAAGCACACCCGGCTTCATCCTTAGAGCAGCAAACCCAGAGGTCGTCAAAGCCACGGGTTTACCGGTCCCTCCTCCCCGCTTCATGTAAAATGCCAACAGTGGAGGCATTTCCCGGAACGCAGAGGCAGGAGGGCATTCCTTCCATTTTGCACAACGTGACCGCATAGCTGAGGCTCTCGAACATGCCACTCAGGCCACGCTGCCCTGGAACTGTCTCCCCTTCCGTCCGCGCAGGAAGCCTGGGTAAGTCAGCCGCCCTGGCTGCACACGGGCATCACCCGCGACGTTTCAACGATCCGGCGGCTAGACCACCCCCAGGGGCTCTTGAAGGATTGGGCTGGGCTGCAGCCTGGCCATCTGGATTTTAAAAACGCCCCCGGTGAGTCTAAGGTGCAGGCAGGACCGAGGAGCCCTGGCCAGACCCCCGTGGGACCAACGATTCCGCCGCCGCCCAAGGTCCCGCCGCTGAACTTTGGCCGCCCTCCTCAAACCCCCGGTTTTCGGCCACCTGCCCGCGCCCCGCCCCGCAGCCCGCACGCTCGCGGGGCCCGCCTCCCGCGCCGCACCGGGAGCCCGAGCCCGTCTGCCTCGCGCGACGCCCGCCCCGGCGCTGGAACGTACCTGGGCTCCAGGTTTGCAGAGCGGGGAGCGTGCGGGCCGGGACGCGGAGGCCGAGGCCCGAGCCCGCGGCGCCCGCGGCGGAGCGGGGAGCAGGGCGGGAGCCGCCTCTTGGGCGGCCCAGTACGGGAAGTGGCGGGACGGCAGCGGCGGCCGCGCCCCTCTCTCCGGCGGCGCGGGGAGGCCCGGCCGGGCGGGGACGGGGGTGGGGGGAGCGGAGGGCGGGGGGCCGCTCCCGGCCGGGCGAGGGAGGGCCGGACGCGCGGAGCGCAGGAGTTGGCCTGGGGCGTTCCCTGCGGAGCGGTGGCGGTCCAGCCGCGGCGCCGGGCGAGTGGGCAGGCCTGAGAGGTTCGCCCCGGGGTGACACTTGGGAACCCGTCGCGCCAGCTGGGTCAAGGCCGGCCGCCGCGAGCCCGGGCCCGTCCTCCTAAAAGTGCCAACCCAGCAGCTGCAACAAGAGGCAACGCCTGGGTACGACACTGAAACTTCTTTAATTAATTGACTTTATTGGGGTGACATAGGTTACTAGAACCATACAGGTTTCAAGTGTGTAACACCTCGTCTTCGTACTGCATCGTGCGCTTACCACCCACGGTGAAGTCTCTTTCCGCCACTATTTGCCCCCCCTTTGCCCTCTTCCACCTGCCGCGCCCACGGGACAGTGAAACTTGTTAAAATGTGACACGTGCTGTCGGATGAATACCAGCTCCAAGTAATCAAGCTTTTTACAATGGAGCATACATTTTGAGCTGCACTTTTTTAAATCTAAGTTTTTCTTCCTGGCCCTACATCTGTTCTCGGCAGAGTACATTTTGCACTCGGTGCATTATGCTGTGATGACTTGTGAAGAAATTTTTAACGTTAATAAACTTCCCCCAATAAAATATGTCTTAAACATTTGAAATGGGTAAGGCCTACATTAGGCATAAGGATGCTATAAAAAAACTGTCACTTATTCACACTAAAATACATCCAATCATGTGACCGCATGTGTTCATGAACGTTGAAATTTCCGTCAAAGGCTGCCTTCTGAGAAAAGGGTGTTCATATCTAGAATGTGAAACTTTGCAAATGTAAAATTGATGGGCTACATTGTGAAACTTCTAAGCCCCAAAATGAAGATGCTGAAGATACTAATTTCTCTGGTTGACCCTTCTCTGAACTTCTAGGATTCTGAATTTTACTTTCCTTGTCTTTTTAACTCTTTCATTTTTTCCTTTTTCCATATCCTGTTTGTCTGGATACATTCTGAGTAACTTCTTCAATTTTGTCTTCCTGTTCATTAATTACTTTGTAAGTATTTGAATCTGCAGACTAGTCTCCCCACCTTCTCCGTGAGTCCTCCTCCTTTTACCTGGAACCTGTGAATATGGCAGAGGAGAATGAAGGTAGCAGATGGGATGAAGAGTGCTGATCAGCTGACCCTGAGATAGGAAGATGATCATGGATCATTTGTATGGGGGCCCAATGTAATCACAAGGGTCCTTACATGAGGAGGAGGGAGACAGGAGAATCAGAGATGGCAGCCCAAGGACTTGGCCCGATGTTCCTGGCTTTGGTGATGGAGGAATGGGGCCGTGGGCCAAGGAATATGTGTGGCTTCTAGAAGCGGGAAAAGTAGAGGAAACTGATTCTCCCAGAGAGCCTCTGGAAGGAGCGCTGTCCTGCTGACACTTTGATCTGAGCCCCAGTGAGACCCATTTAGACTTCTGACCTCCAGATCTGTTGTTTGATGAATCAGTTTTGTCTTAAGTCACTAAGTTTGTGGTAACTTGTAATAGCAGCAATAGGAAACCAATACACCATCCATTTACATTTTTAATTTCAGCAATAATATATTGGCTTTCTAAGAGTCCTTTGGTTCCAGTTCTAGTTTTCTTGGTCATTTTTAAGTCTCCCATTCTTTTCTGATTCTATTGTTTTCTAAAAAAGGCATAATTTTTGCTTTTCATTTAACTTTTTATTTTGAGATAATTATAAATTCACATGCAGCTTTAAGAAATAATGCAGAGAGAGCCACGTACCCTTAACCCAATTTCTCTCAGTGGTAACGGCTTGCAATGTCCCATCCAGGGTGCTGGTGTCCATACAGTCAGGGTGCAGAGCATTTTCATCACTACAAAGATCTCTCATGTTGCCCTTTTATATCACACCATCCCATCTTTAACGAATAGCAACCACTAATCTGTTCTCCATTTCTTTTTTTTAAGATTTTATTTAATTTTTAGACAAAGGGGAAGGGAAGAAGAAAGGGAGAGAAACATCAATGCGCTGTTGCCTCTCGTATGTCCCCTACTGGGGACTGGCCTGCAAGCAAGGCATGTGCCCTGATGGGGAATCAAACCAGCGACCCTTTGGTTTGCAGGCTGACACTCAGCCCACTGAGCCACACCAGCCAGGGCTGTTCTCCATTTCTATAACTTGTCATTTCAAGATTGTTATGTAAATGGAAACATACAGTATGTAACATTTGAGCATTGGTTTTTGTTCACTTGGCATAATTCTCTGGAGATTCATCCAGGTCATTGCATGTATCAATAGTTCTTTCCTTTTTACTGATAAGTAGTGTTTCACAGTATTACCACACAGATTGCTGAACCATTCCCATGTTGAAGGACATCTGGGTTATTTCCAGGTTTTGGCGATTATAAATAAAGCTGCTATATATATTCATGTACAGGTTTATATGTGAACATAAGTTTTCATTTCTCTAGGATAAATGCCCAGGAGTGCAACTCCCGGGTATTAAGATAGTTGCATGTTCAGTTTATTAAACTGTCCAACTGTCTTCCAGATTAGCTGTGCCATTTTACATTCCCACCAGCAAATGTATGCATGATCTCAGTGGTTGGATGTATGAACAAATTGTGTGTATACTCATACAATAGAATATGAGTCAGCTATAAAAAAAGAATGCTAAATGTTGGTGAACTTCAAGGACATTATGCTCAGACTCAAAAGGTCACATATTGTATGATTCCTTGTATATGAAACATCCAGAATAGTAAATTCATAGGGACAGAAAACATATTGGTGGTTGCCAGAGAACGAGGGGAGGATGGAATGGGAGTAACTGCTTAATGATACGGACTTTCCTTGGGGGTGATAAAAATTTTTGTAAGTAGATAGAGCCAGTGCACAACATTGTGAATGTATTTAATGCCACTGAATTGTTCACTTTGAAATGGTTAATTTTATGTTACATGAATTTCACCTCAAGAAAAAAGTTAGTTTAAAAAAGCAATGGTAAATGCGATTTTGTTTTCAACTTCAGCGTCCATGTGCGCTAGTGTATAGGACTGCAGTTGATTTTTGTATGTTTATCTTGTATGCTGTGACCTTTATGAACTCACTTACTGGTTCTAAGGGATGCTTTTGGTAGATTCCTAGGGATTTTCTGCATAAACAATCATGTTATCTATAAATTGGGACTGTTTCATTTACTGCTTTCCAGTGTATATGCCTTTCATTTTCTTTTCTTGCCTTATTGCACTGGTTAGAACTTCCGGCGCTATGTTAAAGAAGTCATTACGGGGAGGAAGGGAAGAAGGTGAGACTTGGTAGTGCTGGTCGCTCCCTACTCTTTTCTGACACTACCCTGGTAGTAGTGGCAGGGGATTGCGCTAGGGTACCTTGTAACAGCCCAGTTAGGGTAGAAGTCTAAATATGCTCTTGACCTTTGCTGGCTAGAGGTGGAGGAGGGGTTCCACAGTTTTTCTCTGTGGTTTGGCTGGAGTACAGTACTTATTCTCTAAACATTTTCCATCTTGCTAGATCGCCAGTTTCCTACTCCTTTTGCTAGACAGAGCAGGCTTTCTTATTATTTTTGGTCTGTGCTCATTGGTCCTGTTGGATTGCTGGCTTCTTCAGCTACAAGTCAGAGTGAGATGTGTGCAGCAAAGAAAACCCAGGGAACTCAGTACCATGCCATGCTTCGGGTCCTGAGGCCCCTGGCTAGTCTGCCTTCTCTCCAACTTTCAGTCTTCTTTTACATAGAATGTTCAGGGATTTTAGTTGCACTTAAGTAAAGAAACGAGGGAGAGTATGTCCCCTCCATCATCTCCCCAGAAATCAAAGCCACCGTGTATATTTATTTTATAGTGCTTTTGATCATTTCAATGATCTCAAAACCTTGGGAATCTAAATGTTTCTTCTGCTCCCATTCATGATTGTGTCATGTTCCTTATCAGGTGGAAACCCTGGGGACCGACGGTAGGACTGCTTCCTTCGGAGCATTTGCCTCTGCTCTGTTGGGAGCCTTAAGACGTCCTGACTGGGGACAATGTTAGTTCTCTTCAAGGGTCCTAGTTTCACAGCAGATTCTCAGATTGTTTTCCCATCCCGCAGCAGGGGTGTTAGTCTAATTCCAGGGCTGTAATTGACTTTTGTTCCCAAGGACCTTAGGGTCATGGGTTTACCAATACTGTCTACCCTTGGAGCTCACAGTTTATCTTTTTTTGTGTGGGAGAAGAATCACATTCTTTGAAGATCGTCCTTATTTTCTTGCAAGCCCAGAAATGCTTTACAAAAACCTATGATTATTATGGTTTATCCAGGAGCTGGTTTCTACTGGGGTTAGAAAACCAAAATCCCTGGTAGAAACGGACACCTCTTCCGTAGGGCACTTGGTAGTATCACCTCGAAAATGACTGGACACACTACGTCTGGTGATAACAAGATTTTTTTTAAAAGGCCAGGCATGAAGGTTTTATTGCTAGTTTTAAATTCTTTCATGAAAGTTGTCATTTCAAGTGAGCTAGATGGTTAAAATAACATTCAATTTTTAGCGTCTACAGCAGAACTGAGCCTCATTCACTGTGTTACCATAGCTGGGTCCCAGGGCACTGACGAACTTGGTCTTCTTTAGAGGCAAGAACTGGAGGGAGCTGGAACATGGGAGGGCACACTTGAAAATCACGAGGTGTGACAGCTGAAGGACATGGTCTCACCTGGTGTCTGTGGCTCAGCGTCACTGCAGAGTCCCAGCTGTAGCTGAAAAGTCCTTTGGTTATTTTTCCCAAGACAGCAAACCAAATCTTTATTTTACGCTCCTGCAGCCAGCTCGCTCTCCCTCCATCCACCCATTTTGGAGGTCCAGCTTACTGCATCTCAGAGAGAGGAAGAGCGTTTTTGATAACCAGTATTGTTTTATTCATGACTCTTCGTGCCTTTGTTTATTCAGTTAATAAATGCAAGAAAGTGACCATTTCTTTCCGAGCCCAGGCTCAATGTCAGAAAACACGTTCCCCTCATGACCTTGATTCTTCTGCTTTAAAATCCCTTTCCAAGGGTGGTCCCCTACTAACTCAACTCTTCAATAAGAACAATGATGATTGCTAATATTTATTATATACCAAGTTCTATTCTGAAGTCATTACATATATTTACCCCTCAAAACAATCCTAAGACACGGGGAGGGGGGTTTGGCTGTCTTCCTTCTACAGGTGAGGACACCGAGGCACAGACTCAAATAGCCTAAAGTCTCCCAGCCAGAGACTGGGGGCACTGACGACTGGTCCCGGGCGGTCTGAGAGTCTGGGCTCTAATCCCACACGCAGCCAAGAGCAGGCCTGCTCTGTGTGATGGGGTGAGTCTAATAACATGAAATGGACCATGTCGGTAGGGAATATAGGTTAAACCACAAACACACATGTTCCTCAAAGAAGAATATACCAGCTTTTAAATTTAAAAAATTTTATTACCAACAGTCTCTGCTGTTTGCTTACTCTTATTACAGTGATGAGAAAAAAATTCCAGAGCAGAGCGATTCACCAGCACTGTTACGAAGTTGCAAATCTATACTTAGTCACAGAGCAAGAATACACTTCAGATCAGCTCGAGCACAGAAAAGTGTTCCCAGAAGTAGTACCCATGTTCATTTATCCTGCATTCCAGGGCTTCCCAGTCCCCTTGGCAACTGCCCAACTCCCAACCCAGCCTCTTCCCACAGCCTGAAAACAAGGAATCACTCAAGCGAGATATCCCTTCAGAGTGTTGTTGAAAATACATTAGATGTAGAGATATCCCAAATCCCTGTTCTAAATGTTAAAAATATATCAAATGAGCACGTAGAGAAAAATATCCATAGGTATACTCTATTATGTGCTAATGAGTTTTTATCTCCCCCTTTTTGATAATGTCTTCAATGTCGTCTGAGACCCGACCTTTGTAGTCATTTGGTTCTATCGCATTTAACTTCTTTTGGTACTCTAGTGGCAAACCATTCTCTTTGGCACCCATGCAAATGACCTAGAAATAGTTAAAATAAACAAAAGTACCTCTTTTAGTTAGGAACATAATTTAACTTAGTATACTACAGCTGTATTTGCAGTATCAACGTATGAAATAATAGCTTACAGATAACTTTAGATTAACTCTAGCATAAACAATTATAGAACAAAATGGAGATACGGTCATTCCTTTCACAATGAGTATGAATGTGCATGGAGCTTTTACAGCCATGTGATCGAGCCTCATGGAATGTCAATTTTACTCAATAGTATGGTTTAAAATATTTTTATATTAAGACAAAAAACTTAGTGTATAGACTGTCCATGATCTTCTAAGAAAACATTTTTCAAGAAAAGTTAAAATACACAGGGAGCAGTTTCAGCTGAATCCCAGCGTCTAGCCTACCTCTGAATTAGACGTGAGGAAATGAAGAACCACTGCGTGCAGTGGTCCTTCCCAGATCTGTACCAGGCTAATCCTCTGGGTTCCATACTAGAAACTTCCAGAGCAGGCCCAGGAGCTGGGTCACCCACTCCGGACGCCGAGTCCTGATTGGGCCTTCTAACAATACCTAAGTGTGGGCTTCTGAAAAGGCATGTTGGGTCTCTCTATTTTTTTTTTCTGTGCTGTGGGGAGTGGTTTCTCGGAAAGGCAGTGTGACTTTTATTTTTCTGTCTAGGGATGGAAAACATTTCAGCAGTAGGAAATATATTTTTTCCTACTGCTGAATAGGGAGATTAATTATCCCATTCAAGTTAATCTTGGTGTTCATGTTTTGTGGAGACAAAAACAACACAAAAAACAAACAAACAAACAAAGATTACAAAAACCTGTGTATACAAAGGAAATACATGTCTGGAATTATATCTCATACATATTTCTAAAAGCATTTTTTTAATCAACAAAGTTTTAGGAACATCTATCATTATAAGTAAATCTCAACATTGCACTTCAGGTAAATAACTATAATTTTTGTATTCAAAATTTTTGATTAAAATGAATTGTTTAAGTAGAATTAAAAACACACAAAGCTTTTTAAAAACAAGATCATCTTTAGTTTAGCTCAGTGAAAAGAGCAATCACCAAAAATCTTCGTACATAGCTTACCTTTTTATACTGGGGCGAGGGAAGAGCGCTCTCATAATTTCTCATCTGATAACTTCGACAGGTTATTTCTTTTCCTTCTTGAGTGTAAACATTAATTTCTATTGGATCATACGCTTCTTCTTGCCTGAAACCAGAACAACCAAATTTTAACCATACTTGACTTCGCCAAGTGAGTTTACTAGATTAAGAATTTAACTATCTATGGATGTATTTGCTCCCTTTGTATTAGCATCTTAGGACATAGAACATACTACACATAATATTGCTTCATCAAAAGTAAACAGCATTTCAATTAGAAAACCTGAGACTTAGTATTACTTGGTCTACTTCTAACAGATCTCTTTATTTACCTGCTGTAAAAACATGTTTCAATGTAGTTATTTTCATGTTTATACCCCCAAAACACTGCTCTCTAGGCTACCGAAAATGGACTGTATGTTCAGAGCCTACCCAGCCAGAGAAGAGTTGAGAGGATGACTCATTCTTGTTCACAGTGGGCTATATGCCAGGAGTGTCAGAACATCCTCTCTTCCCAAGTCCTACTCTTTTCTGCCAACTTTCCTTGTACTAAACACTCTGCCACACAACTCATGGGAATCCTAGCTGTAAAAAGTATCAAAGCATTCCTAATACATTGCTAAAGTTTTTACAAATTATTATTACCTTTTACTGATTCAACTGCCATGGTAAAGAATTAGTTTTTAAAACTGGCTCTAATAAAAACTGAACAACTGCTTTCAAAGTCAATAAACATGTGCAACAATTACTAACATCTTCGTGCTTTTTCACCATATGAAACTACAAAGATTTTTATAAGACAAATAGAAGGAACACAAGGATGTCAATCTTTTACAGAAGAGACTACACATGTCACCCCCAAATCTCAATCCAAAAATGTGACCCTTCTAGGCTTTTCTTTTTAGGACATTTACATTATACCTCTTCTGTTAACTCTAAAGTATAAAGAATATGTCTGTAAGTATATGGTTTTGAAAAACCAACACATATATATGACCCACTTTTGGATTTTGTAATTACTTAACTTATAATTGGAAACTACCTACTTATCCAGAGAACTCATATTGCTTTTGTTCATTTTCCACACTACTCCCCATACTTCATCGCCAGGGCTTTGAAAAATGGTGGCTATACCTCCGTGCCAAATTTTACTTGTTTTGCCTTGGAAATTGCCAAAGTCAAGCTTAAAATCCTACAAAGAAAACCAAAGTGATATGATCAATATCCTCTTGAACCAAAATTTCCCTACTCAAAAAAAAAAAAAAAAAAAGAGAGATTTACCTTGAACTTCATGCAATTAAAACATAAACTTTGAGTTCCTTCTATATGTAAGAAGCTGTGGAAAATATAAAGATAAACAAAAACCCAGATCTCAAGGACTGAATGTATTTTTTCATATTTTTTCTTTAAAATTAAATATATGCTCAGAATGTACATGTATTTTACCACAAACAAAAGGTTTAAGGGAAAAGAAAAATCCCATAATCCCATTGCCTTAACACAACTATTTTCATTTTTGGAAATTACATCCCAGTCCACTTACATATAGATTTTAACTCAGAGGGTACATTATTGACACTGGGGGAGAGCTACATAGGGTCTATCACTCTCTCTACTTCTATGTATGTAAAGAGCATTCTCCTAGCATGTATCACCATGTTTGCCCTAAGGGAGCTGGCATTTGAGGGTGATTGGTATACTTATGAACATTAATATTCATAAACTATACTAATGCATCTACAATAATCATAAAAGCAGATAACATACTAGAAAATTACTGGGTTCTATACACCGCGCTATGAACCATTACATAGACTCATTTTTATTCTACCTAATAACTATTGTACCCATTTCACAGCAAGAAAAACTGGCTTACAAAGATAAAGCAACTTGTCTAAGGTCCCAAGACTAGTAAGTAATGGAGCCAGGATTCCAGTTCAGTGTCTTCCCTCACAGAAAGGGCATAGTCCTGGGGAAGATTAAAAATTCTTACTTGGCTGTTTGGTCTAGGAAGATTTCTTTTCCATCTTTCTAGAAATTAGCTTCCTTAATAATAAAATTAAAAAGGCTGGAATAGATAGTAAGTCTAAGGTTTATATGTTATTCTTGTCACCTTTATTTCTTAAAAACCTTGTACATTTTAGGGAAAAGGTCGTTTTGCAGGGCCAGGATCTTCAACTGTAATATTGGATATTCTAGGACCAAGCATCCCATCAGAGAATCTGGTAGAAGTTACAGCCACACTAGGAACTGGTTGTCTGTTGCTAAATCCAAGAGATAATTTTCATTCTTCATCTTCTTCCCCTTCTCAGCTGCTTCTGACATCATTAACCACTCTGTCTCCATCTGCCTCCTTCCTGACTTGCAGGCTGTTCCTTGATCTCCTCAATCCCTGTGCCAGCTCCTCCTCCACTATCCGGGCTCTAAATGCTGGGGTTCCTATGGGCTCAGTTTAGGCCCTTTTCTCCGTTCATTCAGTCGTTTGCTCAAGCCAATCTCGTCCCTTCCAATAGCTTCAATTACTGTCCAGCATTCCAATCATCTTTTAATCCAGCCCAAATCTCCCTCTGAGCTTCAAAAGTGCTAAGAATAGGCCTAGCACATACTGAATACTTAATAAATGTTCGCTAATATTTTCCTGCTCCCTTGGATGTAAAACAAGCACCTCAAACTCTATGTTCAAACCGAGCTTCATGGTCCCTCCCAAACCTTACTGTCCTCTTTGCAAACATCACCATCACGCACACTATTATTACACCAACAACCTTAGTCATCCCTATTATCTCCTCCTCTCTTCATAATTAATCACCAAGAAGATGACAGTGTTACCTCCTAAATATCTCCCAAACCAACCTACCCTCCACCTCTACCACTCAAGGTGCCGTAATCTTTAGTATGGACCACACAAAAAAGCTTTCTAACTGGGCTCCTCACATCCACTGTTTCCCCTCGTCCACAGCTGCCAGAAGAGTTTCCAAAGACGTAAAGCTGATCTTTTGTTTGCTTAACTTCTGTAATGGGTCTTCTCATTGTTCTGAAGATAAAAACCACCATCTTCTTCGGCCTCTGCGGTACTGCGACATGTGGCCTTTCCCTACCTCTGCAGTCCTCATGCTGTGTCCTCCTCACGTGCTCAGCTCCTGCCTCCCCGGCTGCATGACCCAGCTTCTCTCCTGAGGTCTTGTGTATATGGCATCCCTTCTGTTTTCTTTGCTTCTTCCCTCCCCCAACCATCCAGTCTTGGCTTTAAATCACATTTTCAAGAAGAGCTTTACTGAATATCCCAGTTAGGTTAGGTCTCCATGTCATCCAGGGGTGTCCAAACTTTTGGTGTCTCTGGGCCACACTGGAAGAAGAAGAGTTGTCTTGGGCCACATATTAAATATACAAACACTAATGAAAACTGATGAGCAAAAAAAAGAAAAAAGAAATGTCTTGAGTAAATTTACAATTTTGTGTTGGGCTGCATTTGTAGCCATCCCGGGCTGCATGCAGCCCACGGATTGGACACCTGTTAAACTTTCATAGCACCTTGTATGTCTTCTTAAAAAACAAAAACAAAAAACATTTTTTTTAGAAAATGGACTAGAGTAGTTTTAGATTCACAGCAAAACTGAAAGGAAGGTACAACATGTCTCCTTCTTAAGACTAACCATACTGTAACTGAATAATCATTTGCTTGATAGCTCCTCCCCTCATCTCAACTAGAAGTATCTGAACCTGCCCACAGTTGGGGAATTCCCTACCTTATGTGTCTGGTGGGGTAGAGAGCGCCAGAGCCCGACTCCCAGTCTTGAAGCTTTGAATGCTAGAAGCTGGTTCTACCAGCTTTACTTGCCATCAGGGCACCAGCATGTGGCCAAGACATCGCCAATGTGGACACCCTTTGGGGCTTTGAATTGTGCCCCAGGTCAGCAGAAAACACCCTGGTGGCGGCAGTCCTGTCTGGGTTTCAGGAGCTGCAGGGGTATTGTGACAGCAGCGGGCAGGGTCCAGAGCAGGTGGTGCGCACGATGCATGAGGCCGTGTCCACATTTACCGAGCTCCGCAGGGGCGCAGCAGCGGTCTCCTGGCTGCGTCTGTCTCCGCCGCTGGCTGCATAACAGCTGCTGGCCTCCCTTTATGCCCTCCCTTTGTGTGCGCTTTGTGGTCCTAACTTCCTGGTCATTCTGTAAGCTCTCCAAACTGCTTTTCAATACATTCTTTTTCTGCTTAAGTGAGACACTCTTTTGTTTGCCACTAAACCCTGATGATGACAGCAAAGGCCATGTCTGCCTAGTTTAGCAAGCCAAATGGTTTTGTAACAATGTGCCTGTGTGCTTTTATAGCCTGGGAGGTCCTCAAAGCAGCCAGCTTTACTCAGTCATCTTTGTGTCTCCAGGTAAGGGCTAGAGGAATATGTACTAATGAATGAATGGAATGAACTGAAGAGCACTGAATTTTTTTTCCGCTCAGGTTGGTTACCGTCATCCAGCCACTTAACTGAGCATAGCCCTTACCAGGAATAAGACACGGTTCCTACTTTCAAGGTCTCTCAGGTTGTGTGTTTGGGGAGTGGGGGGAGGGGGGCGATGCGTGCAGGGTAGGTAAATGGACTTTTACAATAGCAGGTGACAAGTCCAGTAGCAAAGGTATGTACATAACAGAAAACAACTGATTCCCTGACTTGGGTCGGAGAAAGCTTCTCAGAGATGTCAATTGACTGGATTCAATGAGGATGCCCCTGAGTTGGTGGATGAGAGGCGGCCAGATCTGAGCAGTACGAGCAGTTTGAGGGAACGTTAGGAGGGGAGTTATCGCAGTCTGGGAAAGCACTGTTGTTAGGGTAGCAGAGCTCAGTAGCAGTCAAGCATAGAGCGCTGAGGGCGAGGTGGGCTTGTCCAGCAGTGGGGCGGCCAGATCGTGAAAATAAGACAGTTGAGAGGGCACAACATTGCAGGGTGCGGGGGAAGGAGCACTAACCTGAAGGCGGGCCACGCAGAAGAACACCGCCGAGGGGTTTTGGAGGTGGATCCGCTCGGTCAGCAGGTTGCTGCCGTAGGCGAAGTACAGAAAACACTCCTCCTGGCCTCGCTGGTCCTTTAAGTCCGAGGTCGCCATGTTCCGCCAGACACCCGGGCCCGGCGTTGGCAGCAAGGGTACGAGGAGAGGACAGCGAGCACAGCGCTGTGGCGTTGACCCAAGCTCAGTGGTCCCCACGCTGCCACCTCCAGTGTTGGGGGAAAGGCGAGAAGTGAGGGTCGGGAGAGTCAGAAAAGGCGAGCGCTCTTCTGATTGGCTGTAGGTCCCACGATGCAAGATGCCCCTTCTGATTGGTCAACCGCGCTGCCGCCTGTGCACTTTCCTCTTAGACTCGGAAATGCTCCATCCTGAGGCCACAGGACTCTGATTTCTCATTGGACACACCCCTCTCCTGTCCCGCCCTCATGGTCAAGGCTGCCTCCGATTGGTGGATGGGCGGGCACTTCGCCGCGGCAGGTCAGATTGCGTGGGCTCGTTAGGGGGTCGCGGCGTGCGAGTCCCTGGCAGGAGTTTCGGTCTCGGTGTGTGTATGGAAGGGCGCATGTGAGTACGTGGCCGTGTGTGCGCTTTAGGGGGATCGGGGCAGGTCTGAGGCGAAACAGCGGCCCTGGCTACGGCAGCTTCCTCCTCCGGCAGCTCGCCCCGGCCCGGTGTGGAGGAGTCTGTCAGGACCGGTCTGTTCACCTCACACGCTGATTCCCGCGTCCTCAGCCCACATGGTCTCCTTGATACCTTTTCTAGGGACCCTTTGCCTCCTGGAGAAGCCCCTCTGAATATCTCGGGCTCCCTTCCCTGACGGAAGTACCGTGCCGGGTTCAAATTCCAACGCTGCCGGTTGGTGTAAGTATTAAAAGAGTAATTTCTGAATGTCATTACGTCCAAAAACCCTAGTGTAAAATAAGATACAGGAGTATACACACAATGAGATAAAACTCTATATTGTTAACTTTGAAATGGAGATACTAGTATGAACTGAGGGCCTAGAAGCAATATCCTTGGAATCCAGATTTTGACCTCTAAATACTCGCCACTAAGAGGTACCAGGGCTCCTTGGGGAAAGGGCTGAGGCCACGTCCAGAGCTGGGAAGGAATGAGCGCTTGGGACATCTGGTGACAGAGAGTCGGGCTGTAGTAGCCAAGGAAAACGAGGTCCTTTTGGAAGGACATGGGAGCCAGCTTGAAGGAATGCCCACTGGCCAAAGTTAGAACAATTTGAGCTTCAAAAACAATGAGTGCAGTTGATTGAACATGTCATATGAAAGCCATTCCCCAGAAGGAGAGAGCTAAATCTAAAAAAACCAAGAATTTTCAAAAGCCCCCATTTCCCGTGCTATTTGCTGGTGCTGACTTCCACCAACTCTGTACTCTGAAAAGTGGTCATTGCAGAATATGAATTAAACGTTTATCCTGCCTTCCAGTTGCAGGTGTATTTCAGAGTAATCAAGTAGCCCCAGTTGATGTAGAAACAGTTCTTTATATAGAAATATGCCAGCCAAATAATGTAAAACGGATGATAGAAAAATCACTGTGTTGCAGACCCTAATAACTGATTCGTGCCAGGATCATTAACAAAAGGGCAGTAAGGAACAAAACATTAACATGTGCACAATTATTCTCCAGGGATTCCTTGCTGATCATCAGGGGAAAACATAATAACAGTGGAAAAATCTGGCCTCTCCCACTTTAACCTACATGAATCTTATCATCACTAAACGTGTACCAACCTGACTCCAGCATCATCTGTGAGTACTGTTTCCAAAAAATCTTTACTTCAACATAAGCAGGATCTACAGGATTGAAGAAAAACGTGACATCAAGAGGAAAAATCTAAAGCAAACTATGGGACATTCTGCAGGACAAATAGCTTAGTCTCATAAAGTCTGTCAGTGTCATTAAAAACGGTAGCAAAGCCCTTCACTCCGTTTCTTGGGCTGCTGCTCTTCTGGTATCATGGTGCCGTCGCTATGGAAGGGGCTGGTGGGCATCGGCCTTTTTGCCCTAGCCCACGCGGCCTTTTCCGCTGCCCAGCACCGTTCTTACATGCGGTTAACAGAAAAGGAAGATGAATCGCTGCCAATAGATATCGTTCTTCAGATCCTTCTGGCCTTTGCAGTTACCTGTTATGGTATAGTTCACATTGCAGGGGAGTTTAAAGACATGGATGCCACTTCAGAACTGAAAAATAAGACATTTGACACATTGAGGAATCACCCATCGTTTTACGTATTTAATCATCGTGGTAGAGTCCTCTTCCAGACCTCGGATACAACAAATTCTTCAAACCAAGATGCGCTGCCCTCTAACACATCGTTGAAGTTACGAAAACTTGAATCACTGAATCGTTAGGATTTTTTTACAGATCATAACAGGACAGGTCACAGAGCTGGAATGTTGGAGTTTGGGGTAAAAAACAACTCCCCCTGTCGGTATTTATAGCAATCTTTCAGACCTAATTTTAAAAAGGCTGTGGCCCTTGTCTGTATACTAATCAAATCATTGATGCAGTATGAATTATCTGTGAAATAAGTCTTTGATCTTTCCTAGAGAGAATTCATTTTTTCATTTTAAACAAATCTGCATCTTTTATAAAAGTCACTGTTCTGAACACATTTCTTTGGAAAAATGTTGATGTTTTTGTAATTGTTTTCTTAGATTTCTTTTCTTCTGCACTACAGTTTTTAGGATCCTTTGGGAAACGGTGTGACCACTGCATTTGCAGCATGAATGATAGTAAAATGGTCTTCAGCTTTTAACAACAAATGGACTTGCTATGCTTGTGTGTTTTAAATAAATATATTAGTGACCAAAAGTATGGAGAAATTATTAACAATTAAATGTGGTCCCAGATTACACAAGTGGTATGGAATAAATGTGCACCTCCAACAACTACAAGGATGTGGAAATAGCACTCATTGAGAAAGAATTCCATGTGCTGCCTAAAAACCTAAAATGACTTGCCTTTGACTCACCTCTCCTGCAAACCTTACATTCAGTCAGTCAGTAAGACCTGCAGTAAGCTTTGTATCCACCCTCCTTTTCATTCCCACACTCCCTACCCTCTCCCTGCTGGCGTCATCTCACACCTGGATTAGGGCCTCAGCTTCCTGCCTGGTTTCCCTGGCTCTGCTTTTCGGTGCAGGTGGGGTCCCGGCGCATACCACCAAGGACAGCACAGAGGTGGGTTTGGAGACTGGTCAGTAGTTCTTCAGTAGAGCCAAGGGTGTACGTGAGGAAGTGGGAGATAAGCCTGGAAGGAGATTAGTTTATGGGAGGACCTTGAAATTGCAGTACAAGTTCAGACTATTTGGTGGTCCAAGGGAAGACTGTTTGACTGGAGCAGAGAGGGCCCCTCTTGGACCTTGGGAAATTGCATTCTTGCAGTTCTGACCAGGATCGCCTGGGAGGGAACTGGGTGGGTCATGGCTGAGTGCTGGATACAAGATACAAGTGCGTTGTGGTAGGCAAGGTCATGGGAGCCTTGAGCTGGGGCAGCAGTTAGGGGGTGGAAATGAAAGGGAGGGAGTGAAGGTGCCATCTTTTAATTTGTTAATCATTTCACTCCTCTATGCAGGAACCTTTAGTAGCCATGTGTTGTTTATTACTTTATCAAGTTCAAGCTTTTGTGCAAGCCATTATTCTCTGATTCCATTCTGTCCAGCCAGTTTGATTTTTTGGTTATTGGTAAACCCTTTGGAAATAGGGACCACGCCTTTTATTTCTCTATACTTACAGTGATTTCTACAGCATAGATGAATAATAAATACATGCTGATTAGTTGAACTACAGTCAAAATCTCCCCTATACTTCACACAGGCTCCCAAATCTTTTTTTTCCTCTATGATTTTTTCTGGCTTGATTTACTGAAACACATGTGTCCTTTAACTCTGACTTAAGATTTAAAATTTATACAAATACTTTAGCATATGGAATTCTACATAAATTATATTGGCCATAGTGGTATTTCTATCTCTTCCCAGCTTAGAGACTGGCAAATGACAGGAGCATGCCAGAATATATTAAATCAGAAATGTTTTAACCCTGGCTGGTGTGGCTTAGTGGACTGAGCGTCAGACTGTGAGGCAAAGAGTCACCAGTTCCCAGTCAGGGCACATGCCTGGGTTGCAGACCAGGTCCCCAGTGGGGGGCACACAAGAGGCAACCACACATTGATGTTTCTGTCCCTCTCTTCTCCTTTCGCCCACTCTCTAAAAATAAATAAATAAAATCTTTAAAAAAAATTTTTTTTTGAGGGGGGAGACTATATTAAAATTCTAATAGGCAGTAATTTCTCAGGATGTTTGACAGTTAATCTGTATGCTTGTTTTGAGATTAACCCTGAAAAGTAGTAGCAATATAGTTTATCGATTAGTGCTTGGTACATAGTCTTTTTTGATATCTCTATCTGTAGTTATATCTGTAACTATAGACTTTGGGAAGGGATACACTGAACTGCTAATAGTGTGTATCTGTGGGAAGGGAAATGGAGTTGGAGGGTGCGGGGAAAGTTTTGGGTTTTTCCTGTATTCGTTTGTATTTTTTTGTACCTTGAACATATATTCCTGTATTACTTTTATTATTTAAACATATATATACATATATATAATTGAAATTTGGAACAAAAAAAATCATATCTTACAGAATTTTAGGTCAGAGTCTGGAGATCTAATGTTGGGAGGATAAAAAAGAGGGTGATGACTAAATAAATTGCCCAAAGAGACTGACGCAGCAAACACATTACCAAGCCGGTCTGCCTCTCATGACATCAGAGAATTAGGCCAGACCAGTTAACCTTGCTCTGTGGAAAGACACCTCATTCTGTGAGGCCTGAAGCTGCAGGTTCTAAGATGTCTGCCTGGATCTCCCTCTTTGCTCTCTGAGATGCTGCTGGGTACAGGAACCAGAATACTGTCCCAGTCTGGTTTAGGGAAGTCACATGTATGTTCTAGAACAATAATCTGCTATATTCTCCTGCCACCCTTAACAGTCACTTGTAGAAGTCCTGGAAATAAAACAAGTCAGTTATCTCGATGTCATTTACCATAGCTATATTTGATTGAGATGTACCAATCCCAAGATTTACTACTGTTAATGTTAAAATCTGACAGGCTGCACCATAATTAATATATTTGCCTTCTCAGCTTATATGTCCATGTTATTTGCAACGCCTTAAATTCAGTTGAAATTGAAATCTAAAAGAAAAAATTGCTGCATATTTCTACTGCCAATCATAGCAATAAATAAATAATAACACTTTAGAATGTACATTTACTTAAGGGAAAATCCCAATTGTTCCTTTGGTGATAGACCTCATTCTTCCCAGAAATAAATGTAAACTCAGTTCTTAATCTCATGCATAATAGACGAGAGCCAAGGTTTTCTTAATACTCTTAAATAAAAAATGGTTTTGGAATGGAGCTTTGTTTAAGCATTTGGATACATAGATGGAAAGTGAGAACTGTGCTTGAGTTCTCTGCTTTAACTAATGTGCTTGGATTTCATGTTTTCTATGTATTCAACAATATTTAATAATTAGCACTTTTCAGAGACATACACACAAATGAAGTGCTTTACTTGACTATAAAACAACTCTGGATGTTTGGAAGTCTTTCCAGAATAGCTGATATAGTGCTGGTGTCAACATTTCCTTTATTTTTTTCTGTTTTCACATGAATACAACACATCCCAATGATAGAGCTCCCAAAAGGCATCTCTACTTACTGTCTTTGTGAAATGCTTATTGGACAAGAAAACAACAGAAACTGTACAGCTGAGTAACAGAAACTCAGAGGCCCCACTGAAAATGAGAGTTATTCATGGGAGAAATAGGTATGTTTTATGTGTAGAGAAGAAACTTACTTCAGTAATTCATTGTCTAAGCTTCCTGTGGGTAGTGCATTTTATATGCACCTTTTTCAGATGCGTTTATGTTTCAAGCCAGCGAAATCATAGAAACTACTTGATTTACTTTAGGGGGATGCCACAAAATTGGTGACAAAAGTGTACTTCCATGACCCAGCACTTCCTGTCCTAGGTATGTTCCCAAATGAAGTGAGAATGGGAACTCACACACAAACACTTGTACATGGGTGTTCACAGCAGCATTCTCATAATAGCCAGAAGGTGGAAACAACCCAAAGTCCACCAAGGGATGAATGGATAAATGGAAGGTGGTATATCTGCACGACGGAATGTTATTCGGCCATAAAAAGAAATGAAATAATGACACGTGCTACAATGTACATGAACCTAAAAAACATGGTAATTGGAAGAAGCCAGACACAAAAGGTCACGTTATTTTATTTATATGAACTATCCAGAAAAGGTAAACAATAGACACAGAAGGCTGATTGGTGGTTCCCGCGGGCTGGGGGAGGAGGAGAAAAAACTTAGTGGGTATGAGGCTTTATTTGGGGGTGATGCAAATGTCTTGGGACTAGAAAGACAGTAGTTGCACAGTGTTGTGAATGTACTACTTGCTGCTGAAATAGTTAATTTAACATTATGTGAATTTCACCTCAATGGGGGAAAAGCCTTATTTCCAAGAGTTTCTGAGTAATGGTTATAAGAAGTAACAGCAGAACGTTGGTAGATAACTTGAACATCAAATTCCTTTGCTTTGACTGGGGGTGGATTTAAAGGATTTGACGTGTCTCTCTGATAGGTCACTCCCATTCCCACACATCGTGTGCAGACAGAAGGCATGCGAGGCCCTTCTATTTGGAAAGGGATGGTGCCAGAACCTTTGGCCCCAGTAGGTACTTGGTGGATGCTGTGGGAAGGGAAGCTCAGTCACTACTAACACGCTGCTCCTTCCCTGGGGTCGCCTTCTTACAGCGCCCTGGCTCCGTTAACAATGTGAGGCGTGCGAGAATAGCAGTGACACTTGGGCAGCAACATTTCCCAAAGTGCGATCTGTGGGACGTTGGCCCATGGGATGGCCCTCCATCCAAAATCGGCTTCTGTGGTCAAATGAGCTGGAAAGCACTACCTTACACATTTCCTCTCGGAGATTCCTACTGCCCGTGACCACAGGAGGGAATCGAAGAACCTGTTGTCAAGAAACCCAGCCACTCTGTTTAGTCCCAATTTTCCCAAACCACTTTGGTTGCACAACCTCTTTGATGTGGGAAATGTCTTGATATTTTAAGGATAATTGTTTAGTTCTTAATCGTATTACCTAAAATCTTACATTATCCCCCAAAATTGAAGACAAGTGTCGGTATCAGCAAGATGTTGTGTATTCGTTTAATATGATTTCAAAGCCACTTGTTTATGACTCAAGAGAAGCTTCAATCCACCTGTCGATGACAAAGACAATGAAAAAGTTGTTTTTATAAGTAACAGTGTTTTGAAATGAGATCGTGTAGGGGTGTCATTGTGTCTGCTGCTGATAAGCCACCGGCAGCCCAACGGCCAGGGACCCTGCTGGGCCTTATCGATAACAGGCAGAGAAGCAACTATGGCCACGTATATTACTATTATCTATAGTATTAGTTCTACATAGAGCATTTAGACTGTAAACGCTGACAGTTTGTGAGGACGATTCAGGAGCTTTGGCCTAGGCAAGGCGAACTTTGTTGAACTGGCTCTTCCAAGTCCCTTGGGACATTAGATCCTGTCTTGGTGAGGGGACTCCTCATAGACAGTGGTGATAAGCCATGCAATGACCCCTCAGAAGACTCAGCCTGCCCACCAACACGTTGTTCCTTAGCAACGTGCTCTAGCAACAAGGGACTTCATTTTGTCCTGGCAGCTGGGAGTCAGTGGGTCAGCGTGGCCTCTCCTGAGGGCCTGCTTGTAGGAACAGGT